AGAATGCTCTGAAGCTACAAATTAACATTTTTGATTTTTGCAACATTATTTTCTGATACAGTGATCGCAATTAAAAAAAAAAATTAAAGAGAGTGCGATCTTTTGTCATGGATTTTAGTTGGTAAATTGTTTAGAGGGTATTGTGCATTCTACCCAACCAGGAAAGTTTGTTGGTTGAAGTGGCTTTCCTCTTTACGGCATTTTCACAAATACTAAAAGTGTGAAATATGAAAATGTTTTCATACAAGCAAATCTTCCATATATGCCATGAATTTATTTGAGTCTGTCTTCAACTCAAATTCAAAGTCTGTTATGCTGCTATAAATGCGTTAGTGGCGCTGTGACATGCAGAGAGTGTCCTCAGATGAAGGCTTTTGTTGGCATGAAGGTGGACAGTCCAGGGATCTGAGAATTAACACCGAATAAAGTATACTATATCTTATGAAAAAAACACTAAGAATGGCAGTTTGGGTGTTTGTTTCTGAGAACTCTGCATAAAGAGGTCTGATTATGCTACTGCTGTGGTTATCATTTATAGAGGATGCAACTGGTTTGGATAACTATTAACTTTCCACAAAAGAGAAGAGCAGAACACTGTTTTGGCAGCCTTATAAATGAAAAGATTATGTTTGAGGAGATGGACACAAGGTTCATTTTTGTGAAAGTGTTTCCTATGTCCATTTAATCCTGGGAACGATAAAAGCTGGTTGCTGTCAGTTTAAACTTTTACCAGTTATGTACCTATTTATTAACCATAGATTAGGAATCAATTGGAAAAACTGTCCCTTGGGAATGTTTACTGAATCTTTTTAAATTTGTATTTTATAGAATTAGTATTCATTGTGCTGTAGAAGTTAAGCTCCGAAAAGTCTGCATGAATAAAATCCTGACATATCACAATAAAAAAGATAGATTTAAAAAATCTTTATCTTTTGTCATTAAAAAGCTATCTGTAAAGCAGAACTCCAGCAAATATAAAGCCCTCCCCTGCATATTTTTTCAAATTTTCTGAGTCTCCTGGTTGGTCATCTTTGGGTTTTCTTCCTTTTCTACTTGCCTTGGCAGTGGGTGGTCTTCAGTACTACACATGGTGGTGTTGGTGTTATGATGTCAGGGGTGTATCCATAATATCATGGGCTCACAGAAAATGGCCAGCATCATTCTACCCATAAGATGATCAGTGCTGGATCTCACAGCAGTGAGTCTATGAGGGAAAGCATTGGAAAAGAGGTGAGTATTGCAGCAAAAGCTGTTTGTTTTTTAATTTAAAGTGCTTCTAGGCTACAGTTCATATGTGAAAAAAAAAATGAGTTCCACTTTTAGGCTTAGACCAATTACTTTGGCAATGCTGAGATGATACTGTCAGTCTGCTACAGCAGGGAGGAAGCATTTCATCTATCTCCTCTACCCTAGTTACCAGACTACATTATGTAACTCTGTAGCAATTCACACGATGTTGGGAGCAGTACACTGATCTGTATCAGATACTTGTGAACACAGTCAAGAACTGCACAGACGCCAGGATTTAGACTGTGTCATATTTAAGCTAGCATCTCAATCCATAGAACAAATGGTGACACTTAGAAAACACAGATTTGATGCTGGGTCTGCATTAACCTCTTGTTAGTGGGCAATTTGAACATCAAGACCAAAGCACAAAACTGGAAGTATCTTTCAGTGGCAAACACAGTTTACTTAAAATTAGGTCAAACTAGGTCAGAAACAGAGGCCAGTATAAAGACAGAACCGGATTTCGGAATTTGTGTCCCTCGTTAGACATGATTGATCATTTGCTGATCATTCAATGCATCATGTCTGCATGTCAACACAAGATTGTGCCAGAAGGCATAAATAGTGAGTAGGCCCATGTGTTTTGAAAACAGCAGTTGGAGCAGGTTAGAGAGGGGAGGTAGGCACAGAGATACAATGGACACACAGACAAGCAATCATGATGTGGTTGAACAGTCAATATCCACCCGTCAAAATATGCCCAGTGGAAGACTGCACCAAAATAGGTCAAACTGTAAATATCCAAACATTTTCCAAACTGTAAAATCTGAACATTGTTTGTACTTTCTTTAACCCAGATTACTGACCTTTGTCTATACTACAATGTGCAACAATGTGTGTGTGGTCATTTGCAACAGAACTGCTTCAATACTGGACACTTTCATCCCCTTCCTGCCCAGACCAATTTTCAGATTTCAGCACTGTCACGCGTTCAAATACAATTACTCAGTCAAGCAACACTGTACACAAATGAAATGTTTATAATTTTTTGAGACAGAGCTTTCTTTTGGTGGTATATAATCATTACTGTTTTTTGTTTTTTTTTTGTATATGAACAAAACAATATCAAAAAGTTTGGGAAAAAAAACATGTTTGTCTTATTTTCTGTGATAACATTTTGCAAATAAATAATCTTTCTTCATAAATGTAGGCCAAAAATGTCTTTGAAAATTAATCAATCCTGATGTACTGATTGTCTATCTCTTTTCTTGAGACCCTAAAATGCCAGGACAATACAAATATCCCTCAAACTACCCCTTTTTGGAAAGTAGACACCATAAGGTATTTAGTAGGAGGCATGCTGAATTTTTTTAAGTTATAATTTTTTGTCACGATTTTTTGGAAAATGAAGAAATTAAATAAACTTTTTTTCACATATTTTACTTGCTGTCACCAGAGAAGTACAGCCCCATCATATGACTGGTGTGGCAGTGATCAGGGATCCTGGCTGGCGACAGTATGTTAAAAAAAAAAAAAAAAATATATATATATATATAAAAAATTTTTTTTCATTATTTTAACATTTTTTTTTTTTACATGCTATGACCACAGCAGTGCAGTGTTACTATAGTACTACTCTGGAGAGATTATCAAGATTTTTGTTTTTTTACTGTGTGATTGCTGTAATTGGCCACAACTATCACAAGGTATAGGTGCGCTGTGATTGGCCCTGTCCATACCATGTGATCACTGTGGCTAATCACAGAGATCACAATAGCACACAATGAATGGCTTACTGGTCACAGCGATCACATGGTACCAGGGCCAGCCTGGTACAACAATCTGTCAATGGCATGACAAAAGGTGACAGATCGAGCTGCAATGTAACCGCTAGAGCGCTTGCACCTGGAGGGCATCATATGACGCCCACTCCAGATAGCAGTGCTTCTGCTTGGCTGGTTTTTTACAGTACGCTGGACAGGAGGTAGTTAATGTTTAAAACAGTCTAAAACTCTTTTATATTCAAGGCCTGTATGAACTGAGATCAGTAGGCATGGAAATATAAAGTTTGTCATATGTTCACAAGCTGGGATGTAATCCCACTTATGTAAATCTATTCTGCCAGATCACTGGTACGTTGAGATTTATGCTGACACTAAGAAAATCTGCAAGGCAGAAGACATTAATATAACCTGAGGGCGTCCAGCCCAAGTTTAATAGAAACACCTTGCTTTGATCATATTAGAATTTATTTTACTTTTTCACACTGCATTTCCTATTTTGCTTTTAGCCAATTCATTTTACAGCGTAGAACAATTCCTAGGTAATTTCTGAGACTTCTGTTAGAGGGAAAAAAGGAGCAAGTTATCACAGGTTATAATTTATGATAGAAATCCCAGGTGTGCAGTAGAGGAAATGTACCTCAAAGAAACAACACTAAAATTGAAAATTTATATGGCTACTTTCTGACGAGAGAGTGAATTCTCATTTCTGGGGTTGCTATGAAATGTTTATTGTCTGCATTGCCCCTGGCTCCTAAATAGGTCCCAGATAGCATTTTCATTTATGTAGGTGTTTTAGGTTTTCCTGTTGAAAATAGGAAAGAAAAGAAAAATAGAGTAATTTAAAAATCCTTGTTACATAAATGCATTGGTCTAAAGATGAAGATTGAAAGTACTCCTTGAAATGGTCTTTTCTGTGTTATATACAAGGCTGGATTTTCATCACTGAAGACAATAGGTACACAACCTTTGGCACCCAAAGCAATGCCGCTCTGCTAGAATCACTTTTTTTACACATAACATTTTCTTGTTTTATTGGCTACTGTTTGGTTTAGGCTATTATGCCAGTTTGTAAATAAACTCATATGACATGATGAATGCATATTAGCATCTTTGCCTATATTACCTATAAACACAGGCCTACTGTGCCTAATTATAATCTGACCCTGATTCAGTATTGTCCACCTACCAGATTGCAATTCACTGACACAACACCCAAATGTTACAGGTACATTACAGTTTTAAGTGCAGATATTAGGCTACAAACAAGTACAATATGTAATGTGATTTAGGGTAGATATTAAGCAAAAAAATATTTTATTTATTATTTTATTTTCGATATAGTAAGTAAATACACTACCGTATTTTTCGCTCCATAAGACGCACCTGACCATAAGACGCACCTAGGTTTTAGAGGGGAAAAACAAGAAAAAAAAATATTCTGAACCAATGGACTGCAGACACAGTACAGGGGATGACCAAAGACTGCGGACACAGTACAGGAGATGACCAGAGACTGCGGACACAGTACAGGAGATGACCAGAGACTGCGGACACAGTACAGGGGAGACCAGAGACTGCGGACACAGTGCAGGAGATGACCAGAGACTGCGGATACAGTGCAGGGATGACCAGAGACTGCGGACACAGTGCAGGGGATGACCAGAGACTGCAGGACACAGTGCAGGGGATGACCAGAGACTGCGGACACAGTGCAGGGGATGACCAGAGACTGCGGACACAGTGCAGGGGATGACCAGAGACTGCGGACACAGTGCAAGGGATGACCAGAGACTGCGGACACAGTGCAGGGGATGACCAGAGACTGCGGACACAGTGCAGGGGATGACCAGAGACTGCGGACACAGTGCAGGGGATGACCAGAGACTGCGGACACAGTACAGGGGATGACCAGAGACTGCAGACAGTGCAGGGGATGACCAGAGAATGCAGACACAGTGCAGGGGATGACCAGAGACTGCAGACAGTGCAGGGAATGACCAGAGACTGCAGACAGTGCAGGGGATGACCAGAGACTGCAGACAGTGCAGGGGAATGACCAGAGACTGCAGACAGTGCAGGGAATGACCAGAGACTGCAGACAGTACAGGAGATGACCAGAGACTGCAGACAGTGCAGGGGATGAGCAGAGACTGCAGACAGTGCAGGGAATGAGCAGAGACTGCAGACAGTGCAGGGAATGACCAGAGACTGCTGACCTTTGGGGAGGGAGGGGGAGGGGGAGCGGGTACCTGAATTTGACAGGTACCCGCTCCCACTTTCACGGAGTTGTCCTTCCTTCCTTCTTCCCGGGCCGGCTTCTGTGACAGCCGGGTGCCCACTGCGCATGCGCGAGAAGCGCTGCGCTTTGTGAATGGCCCGGCGCCTTCTGGAACCTGTCATGTATCCCAGAAGACACTGGATCATTCACAAAGCGCAGCACATGCGCAGTGGGCACCCGGCTGTCACAGAAGCCAGCGCGGGAAGACTGTGCTGCGCTGGAGCGAGGAACAGGTAAGGCCCTGCAGGATAGAACAGCTGAGCGGCCGGCCCGGTATTCTGACATGGTGGCGGCAGAAATACCGGACCGGCCACTTTATATTCGCTCCATAAGACGCACTGACATTTTCCCCCCTTTTTTGGGGGGAAAAAAGTGCGTCTTATGGAGCGAAAAATACGGTATATTGCCAAAAGTATTGGGACACACCCTCCAAATCATTGGATTCAGGTGTTCCAATCACTTCCCATGGCCACAGCTGTATACAATCAAGTACCTCAGCATGCAGGCTGCTTCTACAAACATTTGTGAAAGAATGGGATGCTCTCAGGAGCTCAGTGAATTCAAGTGTGGTATCGTGATAGATTGCCACCTGTGCAATAAGTCCATCCATGAAATTTCCTTGCTACTAAATATTCCATGGTCAACTGTTAGTGGTATTATAACAAAGTGGAAGCAACTGGGAACAACAGCAACTCAGCCACAAAGTGGTAGGCCACATAAAATAACAGAGCGGGGTCAGCGTATGCTGAAGAGCACAGTGTGCAGAAGTCGCCAGCTGCACAGGTAATAGTGCTTCTGGAAAATGGTCAAACATTCCCATAGACACACTCCTAAACCTTGTGGATAACATTCCCAGAAGAGTTGAAGCTGTTACAGCTGCAAAGGGCGGGCCAACTCAATATTGAACCCTACGGACTAAGACTGGGATGCCATTAAATTTCATGTGCCTGTAAAGGCAGGCATCCCAATACTTTTGGCAATATAGTGTAGCTCAGGGACAGGACTCAGGAGGACAAGAAATTAGAATGGGCAAGCACACACACGTGAAATCGACTCTCAGTGACACTGACAGCAGTGTGCAGCAGCACAGATGATGATGACACCTCACTGACATGCCATGTCCACTCTTGAGTAACAGAGACAGTCTCTCTCCTTGCCAGGTAGTCCTTTCAGTCCACTCCACTCCAAACAACACTGAGAGTCCCACTCCTGGCTTGCCTTGCTCCTGCCCCACAGACCCGCACACAAGTTTTTGGCTGCTCTGCTTGGCTCCCTTGCATAATGCGCTCAGAAACCGCCTCCACCAGACCCGCCTCCTGCAGGCACCACCCTAACACACTGTAGCAGGCACTCGGATGGACTCCGCTGGAGTCACAGCCATATTTTTAACTGCCAACCTTTTTCCTGTCACTGGCATTTACTGGCAGGAGAAAAGTATGCTTTTTATTGACTGCCCTGATTATACAGCTGTATCTATTTCAACATTGCTACCATATAGGGGGTGGGTGGCTGGAGACACTGAGGTTGATTTACTAAAGGCAAATAGATGTGCACTTTGCAAGTTGCACTGTGTTGCTCCAGAGCTTAGTAAATGAAACTTCACTTTGCAAAGAATACCCAATCACATGCAAAAAAAATAGAAAAAAAAACAGCATAATTGCTTGCACCTGATTGGATAATGGAAGTAAGCACAGCTTCCCCTCATTTACTAAGCTCTGAAGCAACTGCACTTTGCAAAGTTCACAATCTATTTGCCTTTAGTAAATCAATCCCAATGTTTCTTATGGCAGGGAGAAGCGGGTTTGAGATATACTGCACCCAGCATATAAGCATACACACCAGCACCAACAATTTGGCCCAGGCCTCTTTTTTCTCATCCCCGCACATGACTTTATGACATCTAAGTTAGAAAGATGAGTAAGAATAATCACAGTTCACTGAAGTGATGGACACACACTGAGAGATTCATGGTTGCTGCAGGGTTTTCACAATGATTGACAGACAAGGGGCCTTAGCTAAGGAAGGGCTTTGTCTGTTAATTTGAAGGGACAGCCACATTTCTTCAGTAAGATTTAGTGTAATGGACACTTAGGGGTTTATTTACTAAAGCTAGAGAGTGCAAAATCAGGCTCACTTTTGAATAGAAACCAATCAGCTTCTAACCTCAGCTTGTTCAATTATTCTTTGGCAGTAAGCCTTTTTTATTTTGCACTCTCCAGGTTCAGCACATAAACCCCTTAGGGTGTACTCACACTTGGGCTGCTTTAACTGAGCCATGCTCCCCTCATCCCCTTTGTTTTTCCTTTATTCTTTAAAGAGAACCTGTACAGAGAGGAACAGATAAACTCCCTGACACTGGCATTATTACATTCTGGGTCTCTTACAATAAACAAGGGTTCAGCAAATGATGGTAGTACTTCCTGAGTCATTCAAGGTCAAGCATGTTCAGTAGGAAATGTCAGCATAGCACTCTATGCATTTCTAGTAGTACTGGTTTCCTTTAATTGCTTATACCTGGGTGGATTAATATAACAAACTGGTGCTGTTTGGCATTAATCTGTCTATGAATGTCTGTGAAACAGCTTTTGTAGCTACTTTAATTTCAAAAGGTCATGGTGGTAGGAGGAGGCATTCTTAGAATTTATCAGTCCAAGGAAGATGGTTATGGATCCTACCCAGGGGCGGACTGACCATTCCTGCACTCAGGCACTACCCGAGGGCCCGGGGTCAGTAGAGGGCCCCATGAGATGCCCCTGGTACCTTTCATAGGCTTTTTTGGGTGTGGTTGGAGTGTGGGCAAGGACACAGGGGCCCATGATCCCCTATTGCCCGGGGCCCCATGAGTTGCCAGTCCGCCCCTGTTCCTACCACACAGCCTGAAAGTGTTAAACAGGAAAAGTGAGACATATTCACAATAAAAGTTTATCTTCATTCATAAATCGCTCCCTCCGCTGCTCTAAAGTCATACTGTGATAGAATAAAACATGTCCCTGACCACTTCCTAATTGTGCCCCCTTTGTCATTGAAAATGTGTTTGCAGACCTGTGCAAATCAGTTGCATTTGGCACCCCAGGATAGCAGCTGCAAGGAGCGCAAATGTACACAGAAACTGTCACATAGACTTTGCTAAATGAGTAGCCTGACTTGTATTTAGTTTTCGTCTCAGTAGGCAAAAATCAGACACAGGAGGTCTTTAGATTCAGCACAGACTTGTTCATGTTGTGTCTCACTGTTGAGCAAAAATACTTCTGAGAATCGTTTATTCACTGCATCTCAAGGAGTTCTTTTTGTGGTTGAAAAGGCTCATATGTTTCCTCTTATACAAGGAAATAGTTACATCTTGGTCCAATAAAGTGTACAGTATGTGAAACAAATAGTGAGCTCCATTCTTCTCTAGACTCTTTATGAGTATACTCAAAATGCTTGGTCTCTTTTTAGCCCAAAAGCAGTGAACAAATTAAAATAAAATTCAGGGTTTAGGCTCCATTCACACTTAATGTTATCAGAAAGCATGACAAAGTACACAGAAAGTGTGCATTTTGCTGTGTGTTTCGGAAACACACTGCAAACGCAGGTCACACTTCTGTTGCTAATAATTGTTAAAGGCAGGTAGCAGGCATGCACTTCCCGTGCATTTTGTCCTGTGGCAAATGCGCTACAAGTTCCCCAAAACATGTTGTAAAAAACACACCATGCGTCACTCTGAAAAAGGTTTTGGAGCTTCTTTGGGGCATTTGTCAAGTGTAAGGCAGGCCATTCAAGTGAATGGGCTGCCTCATGTGCAACTGGCAAAAACACTCCAAAATGCAAAAGAAAAAAAAAAGCAAGCGGGAATACTAGTTCCCAATACACTCGGGTATGAACCCACCCTAATTGCAAGCCCTAAATGTAACACTCTAACTGCCTGATGGAATAATGAGGCCTTGAAATCCAAACATTGTTGCCTTTCTGAGGAGTAATGGCAACAGTGGATTTTTATTTACTGTATGGCAGTGTTTTATCATTGGTGATGGTATTATTACTGTAAATGGTAACATTAAAGCACCAGGTTTATGTACAGTACAGTTTTAGCGGTTGTTAATAAACAGCTATTGACTTCATCCCAAAAAAAGTGTTAATTTAGATCTCTAAAGCATTTAGAATTCACGGGTGTCAAACTGGTGGCCCTCCAGCTGTTGCCAAATTACAGGTCCCATGAAGCATTGCAAGATTGACAGTTACAAGCATGACTCCCAAAGGCAGAGGCATGATGATGGGACTTGTAGTTTCGCAACAGTTGGAGGGCCGCCAGTTTGACACCCCTGATTTAGATGGTACCCACATATTCAATACTGCATACTGTGTATGGTTTTAATGTGTAATGTAATCACTAGCAGTTCCCTTCTCTTATTTGTGCCCATCTTCTGTGGAAAAGAAGACAGTGGGAATTGTTGAATAATTGAGCAAAAGACAAAAGGCAGGACTGACACCACTCAGTACCCAAAATGCTGTGTGTTGTCAGCCCACAATAGGAATAGGAGCTGGGGACATTTATAGTATATCAACAGGTATTATTCCCGTTTTCTGAGAAAAACAGATTCTAATAAAGTATGGTTTTATTTTTAAACCACTGTAGAAACAAATTACAAGGTATGTTTTATTACTTGCAGGGCCTTACATTTAAACATGAGCAATTGTATATGTGTTGCAGAGATGTACTGCACATGTGTTTTTTTTATTTTGTCTTGACACACATTTTACCAATCTGTGTAAAATGGACATAGGAGGACATTAGAACATGAAGACATGATCCCAACTTTTCCCAGGTAACATATATCTTTAGGATGCAAAGTAAACATGTGTTCCTGGATTAGTTTATTGTACAAACATTTTTATGGAGATGGGAAAAGGAAGACAAGAAAAGTGGTTGAGGAGACCGTCTTATCTACAGGGAACAATTGTTACCTTTCTGATTGATCATTTCTCTGAAGTATGGGCAAGGAAAGTTATATAAAAATACTATAGGCATGGCATGTGTGAAGGAGCATTTTTTAATCTGAACTTGAAATCTAACAATATTTCTTCATAATCTTAAAAGCAATTTTTTTCTCCTAAAGATCCTTTGTGGCATTTTCCTCAT